TTTCTCACTCCAGGTCAAGGTCTGTCCACCTAACCCAGTCCCTGTGATTTTCGCAGGTTTGTGTCGCCAGTGGTGAAGATTTGCTGGGAAATGAGGGGAGGATGCGTGTGATGCGGCCGGAGCTACAGCATTGTCAGGACTGGAGATGAGACAGTATGGGGTTGAGATGGCCCGCTTTACATCCGCCAAGATGAACAAGTTTCGACGCAAGCTCAGCTCACTGGGTGGCAGCACAGGTCAGTTGTCCATGTTTACTTCAAACAATTTTGAACTTTTGTTCTTCCTTTATTGAACCTTGAATTTAACATCAGTGTTTAGATATTAGCATTAGCTTCTGTCAGTTTGCAGCAGCTAGGTACTGAAGTATTCTCTAGTCTCTTCAGTTTTTTGTCCCCAATTATCCCCCAATATCAGTATCAGTTAAAGCCCCATTTGCATGGATATGTAATGAAGACTCATTGTGTTCCATTTTTTGAGCTGACCCCACAGTGTGGAAAACTGTCCAAACTACAGTGTTTTGCAGAGCCACAGAAAAGTAGACAGTTGCATTTTAATGAGAAGCTCTGTATAGATTCAGTCAGTGCAGGCCAGTTCTTCTCATTTACTTTTTCTCATTCCCATTTACTCATTATTGAGTAGAAAATTAACCCCAATTGTATGATGATGAAATTGACTGCACGTATAATATAATGACTTTCATAGTCAAAAGATTTTGTTCATGTACATGTATTATATATAGTAGTTTGGCTGTGATGTGAATGACGTATATGTGCAGCCAGGGCTGCCCAAATGAGCCGTGGTATTATAAAGGACTAGTCCTGCTGACAACACAAAATGGAGTTTGACAGGTAAAAAGAGGAATTTTAATGAGTCTCAGTCTGTGTTCTATACAAGAATGTTCCAGTGATTCAGTAAGTTAATTAGGCAAATCTGATGGGACAAAAACGTCATGCATCCCACTAGAGGTGGCCTAATGGCATCCTTTCATCTTCAGTGCACCCAGGGACTGTGGGATTGGGGGTCAGTGCTCCTCAGTGCTTTATCATCTATGACAGAATAAGGTCTCCAGATTAACCAAGGAAGGCCTATTTGTTTCTTAATAGGGGGTTAATTGTCACTTTTGTACAACCTATAAGTAGATGTGGCTGTATTGTTTAAAAGGTTCACTGTGGAGAACAGCTTTCCCCCCTCATTCTCAGCTGTTGAATCTAGAAACTATCAAAAGTGGAGTTGCTGAGGAATTAACACTTTCTGTGATAATATGGTACATTTACATGTACATGTATATCTCTCAAATTTCCCATGCATTTTCTCTCGTATCATTTTGGATGGGTTGTCTCGGGTTTGTGTATATGTTTGTCTGGACAAAGTAGGTTGACAGCAGGTTGGATGGGGGGAAGATTGACAGGCAGTATGACAGGAGGTCAAAAGGTTAGACACAGGAAATGGATTGAACTTGAAGATCCCAGAATCTGGGCAGGAGACCGCGGGGGAATTAGAGGTCGATGTCTGAGGGAATTCAGAATACTCTAACCATGGAGGTACTCGAACTGTCCTAGTCCTGACAGATGTTTGTCATACAATCTCTTCACATGTTCCAATAAATTACCGAAAGTTTCAAATACTCCCTGGAGTCTGAAATCTCTGCTTCTTCTTCTGTTCCATATCGTGTATTGGACAACCACAAGAGGGTGAAGGCTGGAGAAGACATCTGTTATTGTTGAGAAAGTGTGCAAATTAAGGTTGCAGAAACTCAGATTTCCCCGGGGAAAGTTTATAGAACCATTTTAACACCTCTTTGCTGGAGCAAAATTGCTCTTGCCCGTTCAACAGCAAAAAAATCTCTTGACATGAATGTTTATCTCGTTTTGGTCCCATGTCTCCAAAAGTAATCTGATCTTCATGTATGGTAAGTTGTAGGATCATCATATCAAGAGATATGACAAAAGGCATACCTAAAATAACCAGTCTGAAACACATTCATCTTCTCAGACACATTCATCTTGCCATCCCTAGTCTCTGTGAGACTCCTTGTGAGTTGATGTAAAGATGGTAAAAATTGACCAAATATGGAGAATAATGATTATGAAGTCATTATCAGTCAGTTAATCTGAATTCATGTCATCATCATCAGTCAGTCAATTTGAATTCATGTCAAAAGGCTAATTGCAAGTGACGAAATAACCATTTCTGTTAACAGACAAAAGACAGAGAGCATTATATGAGATGATATGTAACTCTATGTATGGCCAATGTATTCTGTTACCTTGTTATTTTCACAGCAAGGCAAGGAGTCCAGTAGTGACTATATACTGCCAAGTGAAAAATCGAAGATTTGGATTAGTGAAGGCCCATACATCAAAGCTGTGCCACACCAGGCCTTCACAGCTGGCTGTGATGTCTGGAGAATATTCAGTGTCTCTGGCTCTACTTGCAAAGTAAACACCCTTGACTTTCAAGCCATTTGATTTGGAGGAAAAAAAATTAATTTTACAAACCTGTAAATTGACACATTTGTAACTGGATTGAACCTAGTGCTGTAGGAGATATCAACTGCAAACTGCATCTGAATGATTCAGTTTGTTAACATTCATACTGTGTACTAAAACTCTCTCCACTAAAAATTATCTTCCTTCCAAATACTAGTATGCTCTTAGAATATAGCCCAAAAGAACATAAAATGCATAACCTGAAGATGGTCCTTGCATTAAAAGCTTGGTTTGATAGAGTGCCTTACATTCAACTGCCTTTAGGAGTTTCTTTCCATCTCAAGTTAACAAAATATATAGCCTTCAGTAAAGTAGAAAGTCCAGTTACCGGTACAAATATATATAGATTGAAGAGTCAGTGAATCTCAATAAAGGACGTCACATGTATGAATGTGGTCCTTTTGCCATTGTATCATATCCAGCAACTGTTTAAATCGAATTTGCAAGCATTAAAATTTTGGAAATAGCACCAAGCCAAAAGTGCTCCTCGCTCTGTTGGGCATGTTGATTTATAGCTATTAGACAGGCCTGATGCACAGTAGCTGATGCTTGCCTTGGGCCCTTCTCATGTGTCACACATATGGAAGGTGTTAGATGGGGAGTTGATAAGGTGTGGATATAAATGATGGCTTACCCCTACTGAGCACTGACATGGGGGAGAATAATTCTGCCAGAGCAGCAAGGAATCTAACACCACCTACTTGAGTACATTCTAATTCAAAAATGTAAACTGAAAAGCCCAGAATGACAATACCATAGTTTAGATGGAAGTAGTAGAGAACTGAAAGGTCTCAGAAGCCTTAAATCTGTCTTGGTCACAGTAAGTTCCTGTCACGGTCGTCTGGAACAGCTTCAAGATTCATGACAGGGAGGATTGCCTTAAAGTTTCTTCCATCTTTGGACTTTTGACATCTTTGGACATTTTTTTGCTGTGGATGCCTTCAACTATGTCCATGGGTGTCAAAATATTTATTTGATACTTTCATCTTGGTATCAACAATCTTGGTTCTCTTTAAACCTCCTCGGTATCAGCAGTGCCACAGTGCATCAGAAAAACATGACTAAGATGCATGAAAATAGTTTCTACATTGTGTACATGTATTTTGTTGCTGTCAAGCTTCTTCTCAGTCAGCCCCAACATTGTGTTGAAGCAATGTTGCTGTAACCACCTGTTGTCTTGCAGGTAAATCTGAGAGTTAACACAGCAGAAATTTTAGTCAGCACGTCAGCTCGACCCCCACTGACGTCAGCAGAATGATACCAGCGTCACCGCAAGTTTATGGGTTAAACAAAACCTGTTTTGATAACTGTTGTGTTTGTACTGACATAGCTGCCCTCTGTGTTTGCTTTACTTGGCAGTTATCATATTAACATCACTGCAAAGGGAGTGAAGCATTTTGTTTGGCTTATCTGACGGTATCATGATGTCTGTGTGTATGTGCATGTATACGTGTGCATGTGCATGTGTGTATGTTTCTGAAGTATGGCAGCTGACTTCCAAAGTTAGATAAACAAGGTGAGTCCTTGTGGTTTTGGTGTTATCAAAATTGATTCAGACGCATTGAATAAGCTCAAGGAATCAGGGCTGTTTTATTGGAAAGAATACTGGGAGCAGATGGGAAAGCCATCCTATCACATCCTCCTGTTCTTCTAGTTTGCACACAATACTCTCTTTGATATTCTATTGTCCTTTGGTATTACTATACTTGATGTGATTACTTCAAACTTTGATTCTGATATTCTTGATAAGCCCTTGCCATTTATTAGTAGTAATTGCCTGACATCATCCCCAGCCAGACCTCGGGTCCATTCAAATGCATCAGTGGTAAATCACCGGAGATGTGGGGCAGTAGTTATGGAAACCCTTTTCCACGGTTGGTTTACCTCATTGTCAAAGCTAACAGGACGTAATGTACAGAACTGTGTCCATTTCTGAGAAAGACATCTGAACAGGATGTTTGACCTGTTTCCTCTCCAGCAAGGCAGCCATTGTCAAGATTTATTTTACAAATTGTGCGTTCATCTTTCAAGGTAGAGGAAGATAGAACTGCATATTACTGATTAAATGTAGTCATATAGTTGGTAGCAGGAAGAGTGATGGGGAAAGATACAAGATATCTTTATTGGTTTGTCGCAGTTCAACCGTGAACTGAATTATAAACCAATGTACAACCAGGTTTTAGAAACACTTTCAATGAGGTGTAAATTAACACTTAAAAACCATAGAACTATGAGTGTTATGGACAATAATATTCCACAAAATACATATCTGTCATAAAGTCCACATCTACGTTACAGAATACTAGAAATCATAATCACTTAACAATTGTGTGAGATATGGTATCAGAGAGTGGCTATATCTCTGAGTGTTTGCCTTCGGAATATTCAGTGAAAGGAAAAGTGCTGAGATAATCAAGAAACTTTTTAAAAATTCATAGCTTATTGTGGTTTGTTTAGATGGTAAATGTACTCTCCATCAGAAACAATTTACATTGAATATAATTTCAACTTAAGTAAAATATTTTTTCAAGTTCAGTTTGTTTGGATGGATGGGGTGAAATTTTTTTTTCTCTCCCTACATGATAACTTCCATCCTGGGACAGAGGGACAGGTCCTGGAGACAGCCCTGAGCACACATTGTTGCCCCAATTGTTTCATTATTGCCAGTCAGCTGATTTTCTACGTGGAAGAACATGGAACACATGACTGCCTCTAACTGCGCACAACAAGAACCGGTCCCATTAGGTGACGTCTGCTTTCCAACAGAACTGCAATTTGTAATATGACAGAGCTGTCATTTACCAGCCCTTTAAGTTGCCGGTGCACAGCGGTGGTCACACATTAATTCTGTCTGTGGGTGCCGTCCTAACAAGTGTGTGGGTTCCATTAGTTGGAATGGCCGGTGTTTGAAGTCTGTGGTCACCCGCCCATTCGTCCATTCAAGGAGACAAGCGGAGAATCATGAATCTGAAGGGTAAACTGTCGCAGCTTGGGGGCCAGTGGAGGACTCTCAAAGGTCAGGCATATGTTCAGCAGGTTTATCTGCATAAATATTTAGGATTGCTCGGAAATCAAAGGGACTGACAGGATAGTTTTCGGTAAATGATCCTCTCTTGAACATGGAATTCTGACTGTGTTCAGCCTGTTTTTGACATTGCTGTTGATAAACACTGGGGCTCGAAATACTTTTTCCTTGTTGTCTGCATAGCCAATGTTGCATGTTGTAAGAAACTTCAAGTGCAATTTTGATAAACTCTCTGCAAATACCCAACCCATTAATTACTCCTGTCATAATTAGACAACATGAGCTTAAAGAATACTCTTTATTAGCTTGTTGTCAAGCCTGAAATGTTTCACAGTGTAAAACTGCAAGCTATCTGTATTTTAACTATAATCTAGAAACTCTCGCTGCAAATTACAGGTTGTAGGTGGGTATCCTGAGCCTTTAAGTCAAATCTATCAAAAGAAGTAGTCTGGTAACAGCTTTGATTTGTATGGTATAGTATTACCAATGCAGCTTGTCTTGTTGTACTAGCTGACTAATTATCTAATTACCCAGCCACTGAATTACAGGCCATTTCAATGTACCTTGCTACGTTTGGGTGGCAGGAACAGGGGGAAATACAGAAAACTAAGAATTAAGATAATGTGCAATTTAGACTTTCTTGACGCTTCTTCTCATATTTCTTAAGCTCTAGCACACTGAAGTAGCTGTTTGGATACCTGTTTGTTACAGGTTAGTGAGTTCTGCAGGGAGGAGGTTAAAAGTGGTATATGCATGTACTAGGATGATATAAACATCAGAGACACATTGCTTACATGTACATGAATGTCCTAAAGTCAATGTATCTATTTTTGTTGGAACAGCCTGTGTTTGTTGCCCCTACATCTTGGAGAGCTGTTTACACGAAACAAAGAACAGGACACACAGGTCACTCTACCCTCAAATCAATTGGAGTCTTTTTTTTATCGTAGTTGAAAGAGGGATGTATTCGGTTTGTGCGTCATCACCAGGCTATACGTCACACATGGATTAAAGTATGAGCCCCTAAATGTACCTCCTTTCAGCTGGATGATGGTCCTTACCTGACAGAGATGCCGGGCTACCCAAGAAAAATGAGCCAGCATATAGATAGCTTATTTTTCCTCAGTGATTGAATCATAATGTCCTTCAGGGTGGGTTTTCCTTGATGTTGGCAAAAGCTTGGTTATGTAAAGTGTATCCAGGCAGCTATGAATACGGCTTCGGGTGTTTGAAGCTCCTCGTACAGATAAATAGACCCCGGCTCAGGCAGATATGATATACTAGGATGCCTGTAGCTGTACATAGCTTTTGACTCTATCTTTTGATACTATCTTATATAAAGTGGTCATCATTGTGTAAGAGCCACAGGCCATGAATAAATGATCATCAGTTGTCACTCCAGGAGTCCTAATTTATGACTCTCAAACTGTCCTATCTTTGACTATGGGATCTTTTTTGATTGCCTGGGATGCCTGTAGCTGTATATAGCTTTTTTTACTCAGCTATGTTATATGAAATGGTCATCATTATGTAAGAGCCGAAGCTGATCACTTATTGCTCCAGGAGTCCCAATTTATGACTCTCAAACTGTGGTATCATAGACCATAGGACAGATTTTGCAATACAAGTGTGTATAAGGCCATACCAAATTACCAATCTATTCTCTTGCTTCTGGCACACCTTTGTAAAAATGAATGACTAGATAAAAATAGAAAACTGGAAGGAAAACTTGAACAGAGATTTCCCTTGGACCGAGTCATCTGTAAATTCAATTTTCATGGCCTTAAACTCCAAAACTTGTGTATCAACTAACAGAAGCCCTGGTACTAGCTAACTCCATCTATTTCCTCCACTACTATTATCCAGACCCCTGCAGGGTGATGTACCATTTTCCACTGATAACACTCCATTCAGGGATTAGCATGGTAGTGCTGTGTGCTTTCACGCTCCATTGAAAACCCATTCCTCAGTCCCAGGGGGACAAGGGAATTGTAACTGAGGCATTCCTCAGCCCTCTGCACTTCTACTAAGTTCCAGGCAATCTTGTGGTATGTGATCCCATGCATTAAATGAACTTCACTGTGAAACAGTTGTATGAGGCACAATATGTCATCATTTGTAAAAATTGTATGAAACATAGTATGAAATATTCTGCATTGATTCTGAACAACAAAATGTACATGGCTTCATGATGCTAAACCAGGAACAAATGCAAAAAATGTAACCTTTTGATTAACATGGGATGCATCTTGGAGAAATTTGCCCAAAGTTTTGTGACACATTTGATAGTTCTGACAAAAACATATTGGATGTCGCTAGACACAGTACAAGGCCTCCACAGTACAAAATAGCAAAGCACCTGTCTGGGAGGAAAGCAAAAGCAGCCACAAGCCAACAGGCTGCAAATGTAGTGTTTCCCCAAGTATTACCTGGAAAGGTCAATGGCTATTTCCAGCCAGCAGGAGTCTCAGTGTGTAACGTCAGCAATTCTGTTTGTGCCATGCTTTTCTTGAAACAGTCTTATCGTTGACATATCACCTTCTCATTGTAAGTCCCCGTCTCCGTCGTGTATGTTAGGTCTCGTTTCAACAGGGATGACTACCCGTCGCATTTCTAATGCCGTTGTTGCCTGAAGGACAAAGAAGGCAGCTTTTGAGGAGTGCAAACTCGACAGGAATAGCACCTTTGGGCTTCAGGTTGTCCCGGCAACTCTTTTTTGTGGCTCTGGTGTTGTGTCCCGGGGAGGAGAAAGAGCAGGAAAGAACACCAACCTTTTAGCGGGATGTACCACACCAGAAGCTTTCTTGGAATCTTTACAGACAGGATCATCGCAATTGGATTTCTTCCTGCTATTCGTAAATTTGCTTTCGTTTTCATCACGGTATGACATTATACAAAATTGACACCTTATATAATATTACATGTATTTGATGCAGAACTCAGTGAACTTTGTGAATGCAAAGCAGGTATGTGATGAGATTTTTTTTTGTCAGCAAGTTGGTTAAAAACCTGAGAGATTATATTTTGCTTTCAGATTAGGGTTGGGTTTCAAACAAAAATACTTAATCTATTTGCAATTCAGCAATTCTTCCAGTTGTTTTCATACATTGTATCATTGATAGAAGCATGGTTGAAATCCATGCATGCTAAAGTAAGCAAAACATTTGAAGGGACACCATATAGAATTTTTGTGCATTCAATGCTCCATTGACCTGGGTACAACTTCAACAAGGAGTTGACAGGAAAATAAAGAGATTATATATTATAGATTATATAACATTAGCCACATACCCACATGCTATTAACATAGTACACTGTATAGACATCAATATGTGTCACGATAAAAAGAGCATAGGTCCTAACTATAAACTGGGTACTTAGAAAAACTTGAATAGGCTAGCTACATCATTTATTTGAATTTTGCTTTACCTCATTAAAATGTGATTTATTATACATCTTTTAGACTCGTTATTTTATGTTGAACAGCACTTTAGTGTGCAAACAGGGAGAGAAGTGTATTAAGAGAGCTTGAGTCACACAAAAAGGGAACCAGCACAAGTTAAGGTTTGACTGAGCTCCAGAAGGATCGACTCTCACGGTCTAATGGAAGTCTTCCTAACTTCTACAGTTTATTGCCTGGTGTTTTAGCCTACCTGCCATTGTGGCACTTCAGTAGCAGTGGGGAAGGTGAAGGTACTAGTAGTTACTGTAACAGTATAATACATGCTCGTTACGGGGGAAGCTTTTCAGTATTGACCGAGGTTTATCATTCTTTTTCAGCCCCAAATTTTCATCCATCCTACCAGTTATATTTCAGCTTCTTTGAAATTAATTGCATTTTCTGATGGCTTCATTTTGATTTTTCAGATATTTGGCACTGTTGTGGGTCAGGTACCGTTTGTATTTGTTACTTCGCTGGGGGCGCAGCGGAGTAACAAATACAGATGGTACCCAGGCTAGCACTGTTGGCCATGTCATGAAGTTTTAACTTTTGTTCATCAGGGAGGACGGAATCGTTGAAATATTTTTGTCTCTCCTGAGCAGAAAAATGCCTGTCCAGTGACAGAATGACAAATGTTGGATGGAGCCCTGGTGTTGTCACTGGCTACTTTGTATCATGTACCCTTAGGCAGTACATTGCTGGTCTTAGACCAGCTGGTTTCTGGTATCGGCACGTCAAAATGGAGCATCGTACGTTGAAAGAGGCTGTTTGTTCTAAAGTGCACTGTTTACACGCCACCATTTCAGACAAAGATGCGGTAGTGTCTAAGATTGAGCTGCAGAACAGGCGACTGTCCAGCATCAGCGCCAACGGCATGGACGAGGAGAAGCTGATCGTGAAAGGTCAGCTGATCAAGGCTGCCTCTCTGGAGAAGCTGGCCATGCTCTGTGTGGACTGCTTTGGTAAGTCAGCGTTGTCCTTTGTTTCAAATTATCAAATCTTTTAGTAGACTACTGGATAGCCCCTTCAGTTTTTGAAAGCTGGTTTAGACTTAAAGTATTTTTTACTGACATAGAATGGTAGGTCAGCAAAAATATACTGTTATATACTATTTACAGCTCAGTGATGTAGACCAACATATTACATTTAACTAAGGAGTGGGTGGATGGATGGGTAAATGCTGGAAGGAACTCTGCCAGTTGCCAGACAGGACTTCTCATCTAATGAAGGATGCGACGCAGGCTTTGTCACAAATGGCATAGGTGGTTCACTTGACAAATATTGATATTCGAATACATAATATCAACATTTTTTTATGTTTTGGTATGGACATAATTCATTTTCCACTTATCTCAGCAGAATAAAATGAATCCCATTTTATAGAGCAAGAGCTACATTTGGAGCTCAGTGCAAAAGATGTTGCTTTTATGTCAGCTCATCTGTTGACCTCTTTGTTGAGGACATTGTTGACACTAAGCAAGCTGTTACTGCCTTGTCAGTGATGCAGTAATGACACCTGTAACATCGATTCATGTTTGGTTTGTCTGCTCCTTTTTGCACAATGTATGTCAAAGCAATTCCTTCTTTTAGCCACATCAGTTACCAGTGTATTTCGAATCCATGGTTCTCTTTTTAAGTAAAATTTTAGCAAGAGAACAAGGCAAAAGCAGAGAGCTTACAGAAAACTTGCATCCATGGTTTTATTTTCATTGTTTCTCCATCATGAATTCACAACACTGTAAATGTGTCTCCCTTGTATGGCTATGGTACCACAGAATTGTTTCAACCACAAATGTAAAAAACTCCATTTCTCTCCTTTTCCCTTCTTTTTAAAAGCTGGTTTACCACTTTGAAAGTAAATGAATTTACAGTCCCATTCTCAGCTGCTCCAGTCATTATAGCCCTGAGGAAGGTAGCAGAGCGACTGAAACGTTCAGAAAAACTTGCTTGTGTTGAAAGAAACCTCCAACATCCCTTGATCTACCGCAGAAAAACTGGCTGGGCCCTCCCTACAAAGGACTGGTGGGTGGGTGGGCTGATAAGGGGAGGGTCACTTGGGGCAGATCTAATCACCAGATGATTGGCCCACAAGGAGAAACTCCTAACAGCCTCTACACCACCTGTTGCATTAGATTCCTTTGATGCCTACTAAAACTTGTCTCCACCAAACTCCTTTGGGTTTCAGGAAAAATTGATAGAAATTGGCCAAATTGGGTGAATAATTTACCACAGGAGTAAGCTCAGGCCATGGCCATTGAGTTTAATACAGACTTAAAGTTTAAAGCTAGCTATACATTTTACCTTATTTGAGCAAGGAAATAGATATAAAGTGCCTTTCCCAGGGGCACAAAATTGGGCCCCGCAAACCCTTTGCGACACTTTGTGATTATGAATAACTTACATCATGATGTCCGCTGTTCAGACGATGCAGGGGAGCTCCAGGACAACCCGTTCTTCCCCAGGATGGTTTTCCTCATGCACAAATGGTTTGTGTCTTCTGAGGAGCTGGCAGCCCTGTTTATCAACCTATATCCTTATCTAATTATCTGCACTCACACTCAACGCTTATCATAGAGAGACAAAGAGGCGAGATGGGCTTGGTAAGTTTAATGTTTTAAACCATGAGAATCCACGGGTGGGTGGGTGGGAGAAAATTCAGATGAGCTCGAGTACGTGAGCTCCCACCGCCCGCTACTTGTGATGACAATAAACAGATGACCGCTGGGTCAAGTGAGGTCAGGGGTCGTATTCTGTGCATCTAATTAATTTCTTTGAT